ATACAGACCTCCGGAAGAAGGCAAAGGATGATTTCTCTAAGGACTTCTATAAACTGATGAACAATGCGGTGTTCGGGAAAACTATGGAGAACGTTCGGAGGAGAGTCAACATACAATTGTTGAGAAGTCGTGAGGAGAAGAAAATCAAACAGCTTGTTGCCAAACCAACGTACAACCGCCATGTGATCTTCAACGATGACCTAGTCGGGGTACAAAGTAACAGGACAAAGGTCGTCCTCAACAAGCCCATATATGTTGGGATGTCGATTTTGGATCTCTCAAAGACACTCATGTATGACTTTTACTACAATCACCTGAAAGAGTTGTATGGCTCTGATGTGAAACTCTTGTACACCGATACAGACAGCTTGGTTCTTCATTTCTTTACTGATGATCTGTTTGATGACATGAGTGAGTTTCTTGAGAAGTATGATACAAGCAATTATGATCAATCACATCCGTTATATTCCGAGAAAAACAAGAAAGTTGTTGGCCTGTTCAAAGATGAACTCGGTGGGAAACTGATCACTGAGTTTGTAGGACTTCGCTCCAAGATGTACAGTTACTCTGGTGAGGAAAGTGGAAAAAGAGCAAAGGGGATGAAAACAGCAGCGCTCAAGAAAACTATCACACATGATGATTTCCGAAATTGTCTCTTGGATCAATCCGTGTTCCATCGAGAAATGACAACACTCCGGAGTCATAGACACGTCATTTTCGGAGAAACAGTTAATAAGATAGCTTTATCACCATTGGACACTAAACGATATATCACAGAAGATGGATGTAGTACGTTAGCGTTCGGACACCATGAAATACCAAGATATCTGGCTGAGGAGGGGTTTGATAGTAGCATTTCATTCATGAGTTATGCTCCGGATATGATGAAGCAGTTTGTCCAGTGATCACGAGAAAAAAAGATATATATTTTTTATTTTACTTTTCTTACACATTCGATTCTCTATAGTTCTTCCATATGACATCAAGTCTTTGTTGTGATTTTTTACACTTTGGAATGAATGGTTTGATCTTGATCACATCATCTTCATCAGCAATGAGTTTCGAAAATAGGAATTTGTAACTCACTTTGACTTTTTTCTCTTTGTTTGCTACTTCTTTGATCCTCTGAATTTCATCAACAAGATTGTTGAATGGGGTTTTGCTAAGATATTTTGGTAAACCAACCATGTTCAGGGTTATCTCCAACCTTGTTTCGATTCCTGTTCTGGTTTTGGATTTTTCTATTTCTTCCAAGTAAATTGTGGTATCATACAGATCATTTTTCTTCATCTCATACACCTCAAGATCCTGTGGAGTTACTTCATTTTCCAAAATCATCAATTCTATATCTGTAGGAAACCATACCTGGTTTCTATAGTCAATGAAGTCCGCTATCATTATTCTTATCTTTCCTGGTGGAGTGTTCATCATCTATCCATGTATCCATGACTTCTTCTTCTTCTTCTTTGTATATAGAGCAGTCGTCATCAAACCACGCATTCATGATTTCACTTCTAAAAAATATATTTTACTTTTCTGTTTTTGTGAATTGTTTGACTATTTTTTACAAATCGTTTGCTGAGAATTTCACTTCTTCTTTCTGGAAATGCTTTATAGCAACAACAACAAGTTTGAGACTGAGAGTGTCATCGGTCTTGTCTTTGTAAACCCACTTCAGGTGAACGATACCATTGACGGTGTCACCTTGCTTGATCTTGTTGGTTTTTGATGGTTTGTTATCCTCATCAAAGATAGCACAATCAGGAGAAATCTGGAGAAACAGGATTGGGTGGTCACACTTTGCTGTGTTAATCCTGCTTCTAACCACATTTCCTTCGGATTCTATCTGCTTCTCGATACAACGGATGGATTTACAAATGTCACTGTCAGAAGAAAATTTCAGAGAATCCTCTTGTCCTTTCTTCACAACATTCATGATATTTGTCTCATCAGTGAATTTTATGTATGGTTCCTTACCATTGATTGTCAGTGAACCACATTTATTCCCATCCTTGATGATGATTCGATAATCAATGAAGTCGTTGAGAACAGTAGCTGTGTCAAACGGGGTTTGTTTGTTTGTTTGTATACTTTATTTGAATTCGCAAATCCAAACGAGCACAAATGCTCAATGACAAGGCAGCGAATATGTTATTATGTTACAGGGAAGGAGGGTTGGGGAGAAAATAAGGAGAAAAAGAGAGAATGGTAGATATCTCAATGAAGAGCGAAGCGTTATCAAACTACAAGTAAGCCAGCGAACGATAAGTCGATAGTTCTGTAACCCGCCTAATAAACTAAGTACTTTTTTTCAGGCGTGCAGTGGACTGTCATTAAAACAGAAACAGAAAAATAATAATAAGGCACCCATTTTGTTTGTCCAGGGGATGGCCCACGCCTGGTAAAGAGAATAAATAGAGAAAATAAAATAAAATAAAAAAATAAAATAAAATAAAAAACAAACAAAGTACTAACAGTTACTGCTAACGAGAGTACTTGCTACTAACATCGGGAGGATGAAAGGCCCAACCCTGCCCTGCCAGTTACGGACTTGCGGGGGTCGCCATGGCAAATAATAATGGTAAACAGTGAAAATCAATCACAGACAGGAAGCTGTCTCAGGGCAAGTTTCTAATCATAACATCAGGAAGATCGGAGGGTATACGGTACGACGGCAGCTTTGAAGCTGCTGAGAGACGACAGTACTCTGACTGCATCCGGTAGGACGTTCCAAAGGACACTACCTCGGGAGGCAGGGCGAGATCGTCCGGCGCGGGTTCGCGTAGCTGGTAGACGGAGCCCCAGGGCGAGATCCAGGCGCGTCCTACGATCCGCGCAGCGTACGAAGAGCTCCTGGAGAGATGGACTCGCACTGGCGTGTATGCACCTCCAGACAAAGACCAGGACCTTCTGCCGATGTACTTCTCCAATCCTGAACACCTGCATGCGTTCCAGGAGATCACTGGCACGAGAGAACCCCGGCCGGCCATAAACTGCTCTTGCCCCACGGTTTTGTGCTACTTGGAGCCGGTCGGTCTGGGCCTGTGTGAGACCTGGGGGGGGGGGGGGGGGGGTTGGCTTCTTGCTTGTCATCTTGGAAAGTTTGTGGAGAATCGTTGGTTATAGCTATGGCAACCGTTCCTCTAATATAGAATAATTATGATTCTCACCCAAAGCTGAACCACCCGAAGTTGGCTCAGGAACCGATCCCACATCAGTCCTCGAAGTGAGCCAAGATGGGGTAAGTGAAAAAGCTGAAGTTGACTCACTTCCGATTTTCTCGGAGACAGCAAGTTGACTCACTTTTCTGGGGCTGGGTTGAGCCAACATGGGATCAGAGGTTGGAGTGGTAAAATTAGTACTTGGAGGTGTAAAATTAGTACTTGGAGTTGTAATATTAGTACTTGGATCTCACACACATATTTCTTACCATAAAGAATAAGAAGTGTATTGAAGGGTTAGAACTATAGGGTAGGAGAGGGGGGAACTGTATGGCAGACCTATCTCCTGGTAAGAGTCATTATCTCACAGAGTCATTATCTCACAGAGTCATTATCTCACAGAGTCATTATCTCACAGAGTCATTATCTCACAGAGTCATTATCTCACAGAGTCATTATCTCACACGTTACCCTAGTAGTATAGGGGGAGGGGGAGACTTTGGAGGGAGGCCCTTCGGGCCGATCGAGAAAGTCGATTTTGGACCACCTTGAAGGTGGTCCAGAACCTCCTCCCCTTATACTGCTCACGCTTCTTGCCGAACTTGACACTTGACTGACTCCGGACTGCCATCCGGAGCACACAAGGAGCACGTCGCACCTTCCGCTCAGCAAACCTGAAAGAAAGCACCACTCCCTGCTCAATACACAGTGTTTTGGGGATTTCTCCCCTCGTCAGTTGAGCTTGAATAGTCTGAGGAAGATTGCGCCTAAAAGGCACCACTTATATACTGCTCTCCGGGCCAAACCATCAACAGGGATACAAACTTACAGAGACACTTTGTTTCCAGCGCGACAAACACGTGACAATCACCTCGTGAAGCCCCAGGTAGCAGCGTGAGTCACAATGAAGTAAGAGATGTAGTATCGGATCTACTGACAGAGGTGTGCTCAGATGTGGCAGTCGAGCCTGTACTCGCTCCGATCACAGGCGAGGTGTTTTTAGCGGCATCAACAAACGCCATGAGCGACGGCCCCGCTGATGTCAGAGCTCGTGGATTCTGGACCCTGGCCCAGAATGCATACTTGGATGTCCGGTTCTTCCACCCGGATGCAGCATCATACAAGAGCAAGCCCATAAGTGATCTTCTGCAGCAAGATGAGCGCCGCAAGAAGAGTTAGTATGCCGAGCATATCAACAATGTCGACCGTGGTTCATTTACCCCTCTAGTCTTTACCACGGCGGGCTGTTGTGCCCCGGAGTGTACGACATTCATTAAGCAATTGAGTGGATTGCTGGCAACTGCCGATCGATCGTATGCCCAGCTAATGGCCTATGTGTGGTGTCGGTTGTCCTTCGCTTTGCGCAGGCCAGGGATAATGTTCATTCGCGGTGAACCTTTGGCATACCATCGCCCATGCGATCAGGGAGTTGGCCGTTGTGGAGAGCGGCTTCTGAGCATGTGCTTAAGTAGTCTCTACATGTTGATCAGGTAGTGGAGTTCCATCAGTGACACAGTTATTTGTTGTTTTTTGCAGGTATTGCATTATGAATTGGTTGGGTAAATAGTTTCGTGTTTGATATTGAATTTTTTTACATATTTTGTTTTGTATTATTTTATTCGTGTTCGATATTGAATATGTTTATAATTTTTTATTCTAGTTCTCAATTTTCATTCGTGTTGGGTTTAACTATTCACTGTACGAATACATGGTGATGATTGTGCTTCGCTTTGCCAGTAAAAGCAGCCTTCCATACCATCGCCGAAGTAGCTGCCACTAAGTCTTCCTTTTTCCGGTAATTGACCATGAGTTTCCTCTGATCTCTTTTGTCCTTTGTAGATATCTGAGTAGCAATCCTCTTATTCTGAAACCAAGTCTCTATGTCAATTTGCATGGTATCCTACCTATCTCCAGCAACTTCTGTTTCGGGTGTGTCCTTCTTGACTCACGGGTTGTGGTGTACTTGAATCAAGGTATGCTAGGACATTAATGGTGAAAATCATTAAACAAAAGTGCCAAAGCAATGCATGGTACATTGTATGTGGAATTCTTTCATCATCCCCTATTGTTATCAAGATAATGTTGATTCAGAACGAGCACCGTTTCAAAAAAATTAGTCGCCGTGTTACTAAGAAAGGGGACGTGGAGAGAATAATCTTAATAAAGCAATGAATACAACTCTATTTGCACTCATATCACAACCATGGCGACGATTAAAGTATTATAGAACGTTTTTTTGTCACAATTATCAATGGAATATGTGACTGGAGAGAATTATGAAACTACAATAAAATGTATACACTCCGAGTGAAAATCACGAGGATAGAAGAATGGAAAGTACAGGCAGTGTCGCCTATAGCGTTGGTGTTTGATTTTGAGCATTTTATCACTATAAGCGATATGTCACTATAACCAATACTGCATGAAATGTATCCGAGTGGGGTGTCAAACGACTCAGGGCGCCGTGCACATACGCACTGAATAGCTGGCTACAGCTCATGTCACACAACATCAGCATTTCCTCACGATAGAGGCATATTTGGCAACTTGTACAAGCAGAACTCGCCAAACAACACTGGATAAGTTAGTTTTTCACGAAGAAGTAACACTCTGTTTTCCCCTGACACCACTTGATTTTACAACAATCACTATAATCGATGCAAAAATAATGTAATAAAGGTCTTTTGCAATATGAATTTGATCATTATAGGCGATATATTACTATAGACGATTATCACTATACGCGATAACTGTGTATACTTAGTTATGGCAAATGAAAATGAATTTAAGAAATTGATCACTATATCCGGTATATTACTATAGCCGTCAACCTTATAGGCGATACGTACTGTAGTAGGGTGGACACACCCATTCCCACAGCACTGCAAGCTCTCGGCTAAATGAAGTCCCCTCACACCAGAGCACAGGGGTGTTATAGTATTGAGTATGGAAAATATTTCGACAAGAGTGTAGACAAGAATGAAAAGGAGTACAGGAGAACAACTCAGACAACACTAGAGATCCACTGGAACATGCGCTCTTCTATACATGGGTGGATCTCATCGTCAAGGGGAACGAGCGGGAAATATGAATAGTGACTATGTACAGGTCGTAGCATAAATACACCTATTACACTGTGCCCCCCCCCCCTACCAAAAATTCAAGTCCACGGAATGGACGAAATACCTAGGAAACAAACAAAAGAAAACAACCCCAAATAAAAACTCAGTCCAGGACATAGTCAGCTAGAGTCTGTTTCAAAAAGATAAGCAATCAGGTTTTGGTCTTAAAAAGTATGAAGATTGTTGTATTATGATGTAATGCATTACGTAGCCATGCAAGAGCATGCGCGAGATACACATCTCGCAGCTGCCTACTTTCATGCAGGATCCTTTAGATGTCGGGTCCTTATGATTTGCCTACAATGGCCAAGTGAGAATATAATCCTATCGTTAACAACTAACTTGTTTACCCCGAAACATGGTGTCAGAAGTAAACTAAATAAACGCCCTAGAATTGTCGCAGTAGCGCCACCGGTGCAAGAGGTAAAATGGCAGAAGCAGCCGGATTTACCCCGCCGTCGATGGATTGGCAAGCCGCAGATTTACCTGACGAATTCGAGCGGTTCCAACAATACTGCCTTCTAGTTTTCCAAGGGCCCTTTTCCGACAAGTCCGACAAGGAAAAGGTCGCCTATGTCATGCTATGGATCGGGAGAACTGGTGTTGATGCTTTCAATAGTTTCGAGTGGGATAATGCAAGCGACAAATCCAAAGTAGCTGCCGTCTTCAAGAAATTTAATAAGTATTTGCAGCCACGGGTAAATGCACGACTGGCTCGGTTTGAGCTTCAGAAATACCGCCAGCAACCCGACGAGTCTGTAGATGATTTCTTTGCGAGGTGTAAGAAGAAGACGTCCAAGTGCAAGTTCAGGGACGCTCAGGAGACTAACGATCGCCTGATAGAACAGCTAATCGTGGGGACGAAGCACTCGAAAGTGCAAGAACGCCTGCTGGAGGGTGGTAGTGATTTGACTCTGGACGAAGCGCTTGACAAGGCCCGTACTTATGAAGCAACACAGCGCCACATGGAGCAGCTGTCCACCGCCACCAGCAGCAGCCGTCTACCTGAAACGGTTCACGCCATTTCCAAATCTGTGGGACACGCAGACTGCGGCAAATGTGGACGAACCCACCACCCAAGCAAGTGCCCAGCGCACGGCTCCACCTGCAACAAATGCGGGAAGGCGAATCACTGGGCAAACGTATGCCGTTCGCAGGGGAGAGACGAGGCACATGGAAGGGGCCAGCAACGCGGACGCTGGCGCCAGAGGAGCCCCAGCCCGCGGGAGCGCTACCCCCAGAGGAGCCCCAGCCCACGGAGACGCTTCGACGCACTGCATTTCGACGCCGTCATCATTGACAGCGTCGAGCGTCACCAACCGCCACTAGAGCGAGAGGTGTTCGCGACCCTCAATGTCAGCCTGGACAACACCAACAGACCGGCCACCTTGAGAGCCAAGGTGGATACGGGCGCCCAGGGCAATATATTGCCACTGAGAGTGTTCTGCCAAATGTTTCCCCAGCACGTCGGACCAAACGGATACCCAAAGCCGACGTCCGTGAAGCCGTCAAGTACCACCCTCACAGCGTACGGCGGATCCAAGATAAAGCAATGCGGAACCCGTCCTATTCCGTGCTCTTACGATGGCAAGAGTCAACTCGCTGACTTCTACATCACGGACTGCCCTGGCACTGCTATCATCGGCCTCCCGACAGCGACAGCCCTGCAGTTAGTCACGCTGAACTGCGCTGTCCAGGAGAAGCCAGCGAGCATCCGAGACAAGGACGACCTGATGAAGCAATACCCGAAGTGCTTCGATGGCATTGGGAAATTCCCAGGCAAGTACCACATCACGGTGAACCCCAACGTCGTCCCGGTTGTACACCCTCCACGCCACCTCCACGCCATCGCACTGAGAGACGAGATCAAGACGGAGCTGGAGGACATGATCCAGAACGGCATCATCACCAAGATCCAGGAAGGCGAACCAACAGCGTGGGTGAACAGCCTCGTGTTCCGCCTCAAAGACAATGGCAAGCTACGCCTGTGCCTAGACCCCAAGGACCTCAATCACGCCATCCTGCGAGAGCACCACGTGGTCTCCACCATTGAGGAGATCACCCCGAAGTTGAGAGGTGCCAAAGTGTTCTCGATCGTCGACGTCAAATGTGGGTACTGCAATGTGGAGCTCGACGACGAATCCAGTTACCTCACCACCTTCAACACACCATTCGGGCTCTACAGATTCCTTCGCATGCCATTCGGCCTCAAGATGTCGCAAGATGTCTTCCAAGCAAGGATCGACCAGACGTTCGAAGGGTGCTCAGGCGTCACCGGCATCGCAGACGACATCGTCACATACGGGACGTCAGACGAGGACCATGATCTCAACATGCACCAGATGATGGTTCGCTGCGAACAATCTGGCCTGAAGTTGAACCCAGACAAATGCCGCATCAAAGAGGACAAGATCAAGTTCTTTGGCATCATCTGCAGCGCTGACGGAATACAGCCCGACCCGAAGAAGGTCTCAGCGCTGAAGCAGATGGAGCACCCCGAGAACGAGGACGAGCTCCAGACGTTCCTCGGGCTAGTCACGTACATGAGCCCGTTCATACCGAATGCCAGTACACTGACCGCGCACCTGCGTGAGCTGACCAAGCCAGATACACCGTTCGCCTGGACAGACAGCCACCAGCGCACCTTCGACAAGGTCAAGGCCGCCATTTCGACAGAAGTAACGCTCAGTTACTTTGACCCAGGCAAGGCAACGACACTACAAGTCGACGCTTCCATGAAAGGTCTCGGTGCCACTCTGCTGCAGGACGACAAGCCTGTTGCATTCGCCAGCAAGAAGCTTACCGAGACGGAGTCTCGCTACGCCAATATTGAGCGTGAGCTCTTAGCTGTCGTGTACGGGTGTGAAAGATTCCACACCTACCTATTCGGTCAGTCATTCACAGTAGAATCCGACCACAAGCCGCTGGAGTCAATCAAGCTCAAGCACCTCCGCGCAGCCCCGCCGCGTCTACAGCGCATGCTGCTGAAGCTGCAGCCGTACGACATGACCATCAAGTACCGCCCCGGAAAGGACATTCCGATCGCAGACGCGCTATCCCGACTGTCGCCAGAGGAAACAGAGCCAATTGAGGACCTCGACGTCAGTGTACACGCCGTGTTCCCGCAATTCAGCGATGCAGCGATGACGAGGATCCGCGAGGAGTCGGCTAAAGACGCCGAGATGTCAGCACTGAAGGAGATGATCTTCAGTGGCTGGCCATCAGAGAGGAGCGCGGTGCCGGCAATTCTGCTCCCGTACTGGAATTTCAGCGACGAGATGAGCACCGAGGACGGTCTCATCCTGAAGAGCAGTCGCGTCCTGATTCCCCCGCCAATGAGGAGGGAAATCCTCAGCAAGCTGCACGCCAGCCACCAAGGCATAGAGAAGACCAAGCTGCGAGCCAGAACGTCCGTCTTCTGGAAGGACATCAACAAGGATATCGAAGCAACTGTCTCATCTTGCACGACGTGCCAGCGCCACCAGAGCAGTCAAGCCAAGGAACCACTGGTGCAGCCCGATATTCCGCCAAGGGCATGGCACACCTTAGGCACGGACCTGTTCTACCTCGGCGGGTCAGAATACCTCATTGCCGCCGACTACTACTCCAAGTACTTTATCACCCGGAAGCTGCCTGCCGGACAAGCGACCAGCAGGGCCATCATCCAGCACCTCAAGGAGATTTTCGGTGAGCACGGCATCCCAGCCGTGCTGAAGTCGGACAACGGGCCGCAATACAGCAGCCATCTGTTCGCGGAGTTTGCTGCCGAATATGGATTCCGCCACAGTACGTCGTCGCCACATCACCGCAGAGTAACGGCTTTATCGAATCGCAAGTCAAGATCGCTAAGA